TGCATCTGTTGCATCGTGGCCCTTGTGTTTGGTGTTTTGGATCGGCTTTGGGCAAGCTGGGTTGTCTGGGCTTGGGGTCTTGTGTGCCTTTTCGCCGTGATGTGGTTCTGTGTTATGGCAAATCAGCAACACCCGCTGACTTGGGTGTGAGGTGCTGGTCGTCGGCTCTGAAGTCGTTGTTCGTTCACCATGGCCCTACGCACGGCCGTCTTCCGCGACGACGTCGAGCGACCTGCGGAGAAATTCAGCAACCTAGATGTCTTCTTCTTCGACTAGTCGTCTTCCTTTTGCATCGGAGAGCCAGGTGCAAGGACTTGCCAAAGGGCCAGTGAGTCGGCGCCGCATGTGCGTGTGCATGGCCGGCAAGACAAAACGTAGGCCGGACGTCTCATGCCATTGTGGCCGGCACATCGTGGTCCCCCCGAGACGGCTCGGCGTGGTGTTGCGAGACGAGCAAGTTACAGTCACGCGCTCGGTCGGATTGTGTAGGGAACACATGGCCGGGCGATGAATAGAATGAAGCATCTTCACGGGACTGCCAGCACCCCCTCGACCCCAACACAATGCGTCGAGATTCCTCGAAAGAGACACTTGACTCGTCAGACATTCACACCCGGCCCGCCTGGGTGTCCCGGATCAAACGTCAACTGGTGGCTTTTTGTGCGTTTGAGGACTCGCTAGTGAGTAATTTTGGTGACGATTGAAGAGATTCCAAAAAAAGCATCTTTACGCGCCCCCGACGGCACAATGGGCTCTTTGTCCGTCCCCGTTTCACCGGCGTCCACGCGCCTCACGCCGCGTGCCCATGAACCAAGTCGCCGCCGCTGCCATTCTGCTACTCGACGGCCAGGCGTCTTGGACATAAATACACGGGTGCCTGGTGCAGTGAAGCTTGCTACGCGGGCTGAAGAATGCAACCATGGGTCTGCGCCAGCTGCTCCCCCATTTCGAACCGCTCGACTACGCGGTCGGGACGTCTCTAATCAGCACGGGGATTCTCATGCTTGTCTGTTTTTCGATATACCTCATGTACGCAATTTCGTGAGCCGCGACGCATCGTAGCCTGGCGCTTTGTCTCTTGCGTTTTCTTTCTTTCTTTTTTTGGAAGCGGCGATACCCGTTTTTTTCAAGGTACATTATCTCTCCCCTTTGTGTGAGACGCCTCAAAGGATTTCTTTATTGCGCCGGGTCACTGGTCTTTCCATTGTTGCGGTTGTGTATATAGCCATGTGGCTGACCCGGAAGTAGGATTTGCTCTCATCCCCATTCACAGACTGGACAAACTCGACGACGATGAGCAGTCCCACGGCAAACAACGGCGCGGAGACGGCGGGCGCCAAGGCTCCTAAGGAGTGCTCCTTGAACCCTCGCAAGTGGGATACGAGATGTCGACAGGTCGCATGCCTTGTTTTTGTTGGGATACCTACTTTTGTTGTGGCCCTTGTACTAGTCGTCATGTTTGGGGGACCCAAATAGCTGTATAGACAGCAGCACACCGATGGATGTAGCTGGTTCTACGTCCAGTCCACATGTGCACTGCCCTGCCGGTAAGTCAAATAAACCAGACTCCAACGTCCTTTCAGACCCCTTTCGCACCGACCCATATCCCCTTTGGCGACAATGGCCATTGCCACGATACTAGGGCGTCAGTGATTACTGCCGCCTATTGTCCTGCCTCTCCTCAAGCTATATCTACCCCTACGTCCTTCTTCCGTCTCTCCGTCTATGTTGTCAACTCTAAGCAATTATTTCTCACGACATCTAACAGACTTTTAGAATCCCGTACCGTGTACGTATCTGCCCAGGGTTGAATCCCGACGCCACGTCTTGCCAAGATGGAAACAAAGTCATCTGCAGATTCGTCTCGGCCATCACAATGGACATTATTCTCGCCGTCGACCTATTTTCTCAAAAAGCCGCGGGATGATCCTCTCGGACGCGGCTTGGCAACCACTCGTTGCCGCCAGCCATATCTGACCATCTTGTCTTGACGTGGTTGTCAAAACCCATCTGTTCCAAAGCAAACCCGCCTTGTTCCATGATGTTTGAAAGCCCCTGCTAACAGGTTCGTTTTATAGGCCCATGTTTTCTTTCACGTTTCGTCCCGATGCTCGCGCCGCCGCAGTGCCGCAGACACAAAACGTGTCGGCCCACGGCTGGCGCAATCACATAGTAGCCGCCTGATCGGAGAATGCTAGTGTTTTCGTCGCCGTCGCCATTGGCATCGTGGTTTATCAGTGCTTGACTTGCCCTGCGAGCAGAGCGTTCGTCGCCCGCTTGCAGCGTCGCTTCGTTGCGTGACCGCCGGCTTTGTCACTCGCTCATGCCTGGGGGCTTTTCTTCTTTCTTTTTATATCCCCTTTGTGTAAAGGCGGCTTCTAGGCGCGGCGCATGGCAGTCTCCGGGGCAAGGCTACCTATTGATACGCCGGTTCGCGGGTCCTGCAACAAGAGATATACAACAAAATGAAACTTAATATTTCTCGTCGTTTCATCAGCATTCACCCGTGGTGTTATTGTTCCAACAGGTTTATCCTCTCCACGCGGACAGGGCGCTGTGTCGAACACGCCGTCTAACCGGACGACTTGTTGGAGTAAATATTGCGTGATTTGTTTTCCCACCGCCGTGCCTTGTAGTCTCTGCTGCCGACATGTATACATGGATGTATAGATGTATACACGTCCCCGTCACCCATCTACGTACTCGGCAACGTGCCCCTTCTCAGCCTCCATCACCCCCGTCAGCCAGTCGACGTACCTCTCGAAGCCCGTCGTGCTCCCCCGGATCACGGCCCTCCCGACGCCCCTCACGCCCTCCAGAACGCGCAGGTTCTCGCGGCCGGCGCCCAGGAACACCGCCTGCGACACGTCAACGACCACCTCGTCCATGTGGGAGAGGGCCCCGGCCGCGGCCTCCCTGGAGAACAGCACGTCGCAGTCCAGCCGGACGACGAGGCGGAACCGGCGGATCCTCGAGACGGCCGCCGCCTCTCGGACGGGGGGGTAGTCCTCCCGCAGGCGGGGAAAGGACGTCAGGAGGGACGGGTGCGCGAGGAAGGTGTTTTTGGTGTAGAGGAGCGGCCAGGCCTCGGCGTGGATCTGGCGAGAGGTGCCGAGGATGGCTGCGTGGATGAGCGCCGGGTGAGTGCTGTGCCGCGAGTACGGCGGCAGCAGGAGGAGGAGCGTGTAGATCTGGAGACGGAGCTCGAGGGGCAGGCTGAGCAAGGGGCAATGGCACTGCGGCGAGGAGGTGCTGCTGGCCATGGCGGTTTCTTTTGGCCGTCGCGAGCGGAAGCCGACCATCTGCTCGCGGTGGCGGGCGTAGTCTATCCTGCTTGCTGCTCTTGATCTGTGTGTGAGGCCGGGCTGCTCGGCTGCATTGCGCATGGCTCAGGATACACCCGTTCGCCGTGGTCGGCTTTCCCGTCCCGCACGTCTATTGGCCAACTCGGATGCCGTGGTGTGCATCGTCCGGTGTTTCGGAGCTGGGAAGCGATGAAGCCGCCAGAGGACTATTTCCCAGGCTGCCATTTGAAGCGGTACGTCTGACGTCTTGCTGGCGCGTGATGGAAGAGATGACGGACGACTTGTACAAATTCTTAGGATACGTAGAACACGTAGTTACTCGTGGTAAATGACAGCCGACTTGAAACGTGAGCCATCTTGTGCGTGTAAGTCGTGTGTTGGCAACGGGCTGAGCAGGAAACTCCAAAAGCAGCATCACAGAGCTCCCGTGTTTCAATCACAACCCGGCCTCGCGGCCTCGAAACAGTCTCAATCACATTTCACAATCCCTCCCCCCTTGCAAATGCACCCTCCGTCTCGTTGTGCCGCGGTCGGTCGGTCAGCGCCCTTCTGCACGCGCATCGCTCTCTGTCCTTGGAAGCTGAGAAATGATGTAAAAAGTCGTGTCATAGCGTCGCGGATGCCACTTCAGTTGTTTCCTCAACATTGGAAACCAAATGCATGGACTCCGTCGCGGTGCAATGATGTCGTGCATCGTCATTTCACGCCTGGCGCTAAAATCACCATTACAATATAAAGAAGACAAAACGCAGGGGGAATACACACAGTCTAGTCTTGAGCCACAATCTCTCCAAAAATACACCAGTGCAAATCCCCCGAGACTACTCCGTAGGCCCTCCCCCAGAATGACATCGTGGCTTGACGGGGATTCATGCTCATCTAACCCACACAAGTGAGCTCCCACACAATGTCTCAGACGACGTTGTACTAGTACTACTACTACTTTCTCCCTGATTCACTTTCCCTCATGCTAGCGCCTCTTTCTGAACAATGGCCATCTTTACGGAGAGAGCACTATAATGGTAGTAATTGAAAACTGTTGGTGACGGGGCGGCAGATGATGTTTGCCATCCGAGAAGGAAATTGACATGGGGAGTCTTGGCATACACCATATCCAACGGCACCTGTATCACTGGTTTTTTATTTGTCGACATCTGTGTCAAGGGAGTCAAGGCAGGTGGAAGACGTGCCTGCATCATGTACCATTTGATGTGAGGGAGGCTACCGAGTAGATCAACACGACTTAATGAAGCTACTCCATAATCCGGCACTCATGACGAGATGCGCTCGGGCACGGGCACTGCTAGTGGCCAACATGGTGCTACCGTTGCTTGTCCTTATCCCGCTTGTCCTTTGTCGTTGAGACATTTCTATACCGAGTATCACTCTCTAGAAACACCAGTCGACGAGCTAGGCTTTGTTGTCGATCTCTCCCAGAAGAGATACCACAAGCCAGCATCTCTGTTGCAATGTCTAGCATCCAATTTGGCTGATCATGGCACCATCGAGCACATGCAAGCCCCCTTTTATCGGATTATAAAAACATGTTGATCGCGCTGTTGCGACGGGCAAAGGCATCCTCCAGTTTGTTGTTGTAATTCCACAGCTTCGGCAAGCCATTCATTCACCTTATTTACCTTGTTATATTTTTTTTGCCACACAGTCGTTTACACACTCACTCGCCACGATTTAAAAATGCACTCCTCAGTCTGCCTTGCTCTCCTCACCTGCCTCTATGGCACCTCGTTTGCTGCGCCCACCAACGCCGGTAGCTTGACCAATGGCGCCGAACATCGTCCTGACGCCAACCCGAGCCTTCCCGTCGTTGTAGACCCCGAGCAAGGTGGTCTTTCCGATGGTGTAAAGAGGGATGCCACCAGAAGCTTGCTTGATGGCCTTATCCAGGATGTCCCTATCGAAGGCGGTGATGGCGGGCTCGCTGGTGCCGCCAGCCACGTTACCAAGGCTGCCCCTGGGGTCGGCAAGAGAGAAGTCGCTGATGACGTTGCTGGCATTGTAACCGGTCTCACCGAGGGCGCTGACATTGCCGGTGTCACAGACGAAGCTCTTGCCGGACAGAAGAGGGATGGCACTGTTGGCTCTCCCAATGGCATCACGGACAAAGTCCCCATTGGACAGAACCTTGATCCCACCGGCATCGCGGAGAATCTTCTACACCCAGGAGGCTTTCCGGGAGCTGGCGCTGGTTCTCTTGTCGGTAAACAGAAGCGAGACGGCATCGGCGGCCTGGGTGAGGGTCTTCCCTTGGGATCTCCCTTGGGATCTGCCGGCGGCATTACCAAGCCCATCACTGATATTGTCGGAAGTCTCCAGTCCCTTGACGGAAACAGCCTTGGTGGTCTCACCCAGTAAAGCACTGGGATCCCCAACGCCGTCATTGTCCCCAGAGAGACCACCTCGACCATCGACAATGCTATGTCAATACTGTTGCTGATGCCATCAAGATGCTATCGGCGAATGGATCCATGACGGGTGGACGAGATTTGTGGAACCAGGCAAGCCGGTTGGCTTCGGTGCAATGTTGCGGTTGCGTATATTAGCTGGTTGGGAGGCTCATTCTATTTGGATTGGCCAATAACATAACTTTGAATGTGTATATTTGGAGCAGGACTGGAGGGATTTCGTTGATAAAGTTGAATGCAGCCAGTTCACCAATATTGTGGCGATACGAGATGACCTTGATACTAGAATACGAATGAGAGGCTTTTCGATCTGTACACGCCGGAGATATAATGATTTTGCATCATATAAAGTACAATGACAGGGCCAATATGCTTATTTCGGGTGCCAGGCATCGCCTTGTCTTGTAATGAGCATGAGCATGATGAAATGTGAAACCCGCGGCTAATTCCGTGTATCTTGACTCTCTGGTCTCCGCGCCTGGGAATAGCAGCACATGACTCTTATACCCAGCGTCATTCATTATTGTCTTGGCTGGCTGAAATTATCAAGGCTCTACCGTGAGCACAGGCATTTGGTCTCCTCGGACTCAAGCCACATTCTCGCGAGCGTGATCAATGGCTGACGCCAGTCTCGTCCACTTGACAAGAGCCAGCCACCAGGCGTCCAATGAGATATCACGGAGCTTGCGTGCTCACGCGCCCGTCTGGAGCAATCCAACAATCCCGACTCACGCCCAGTTAGAGAGTGTGGCAGCAGTTCTCCCAAGCGGATGGCCTCATGCTAAACACCTGGAGGCGTTTCCATTCATCTTGTGAATCATCTAGTTTCCAAAGTAGAGACGTCTTTGGTGCCATTTGTCCCATTTCCGAGCAGCTCTTGAGTTGGATAAAGCGAAATCACAGCCAGATATAAGGAAACAAGAGCTCTTGTTTCGCGACCAGTAGTGATTACAGAAGAGCAGCAAGTCGTGTATGCAAGTGTTTGCTCTGTCTACACCTACCAAGGCTGTCTGAGCTGGTTTGTAGAGGAGATGGACACTTTAGATATTGGCCATTATCTAGAACGACGTCAGAACACGTTACATTGTCAAAATCGGGCATCTCTTGTTGTTGTCATGCCAGAGGGCCATGGTTCCGAAAGAGTATCCATTACCTCGATCAAACCCATATAAGCCCAACTATTGCAATCAAATCCGCTTCGGCAAAACTGCACCCTTTGGCATTGGAACTTGATGCCTCTCATGAACAAGGACATCAGCGCCACAAAGGCCAGTTCGGTGAGAGAAAGGTCAACCAAAATCGGATTCGCATGCTCATCACCCCGGTGAAAGCTGGCAAGTATACCGGCAGTTTTCGTAAGCCATGTCAATTGACCGTCTTCGACGAAGATGGTGACGGCGAGTGCGGTGATACAACGCCTATCGAAACACCAGTCGCTTCTCCAGCTGGGCGGATCTGGTCCATGCGGGCTCTAGGAACGCGGGCCTGCGGCTTTACGAGGACCTTGGTGGTCGCAAATGAGCGGATTCCACAGAAAAAAATAGTCAGCGTTACAGAGTACGGAGTACAGACGAGAGTCATCGCAATTGTGGAGGTGGGGAGGAGCGTTTCCGGTTTGTGGCTTCGGGCGGGGCCAGAACGCTCTGATCCCCAATCACCTGCAGCCGTGAACATGGCGCCGGGGTCATGGGGAAGGGACCTCCTGGCCTGTCGTCCCTCTTTAGGAAAGCACGACCCGCAAAGCCGTCACTGCCGTGTTGCGCATTACGTGCATAGGTGTCGTGATTCCCATAAAAATTAAAAAGTCCTGCCTCGAGGGTCATGGCCGTCGCTGTTGTCTACTTTCTGTTCCGCCAACCTCGCTCTCTCTGTTGAGCAAGAGGGTCCTAACCTTGTCTAGCAAATGGCCTCTGGGATGTGATTTTTATCACACGACTGCACCGACGCTGTGGTTTCTTCCAAGTTTGCCAGAAAATCACCCGCCACGTCCCACGTCATGAGCCTTCTCACCTTCTTTTCTGGCCTGTTTGGTTGGATCTACACCTTTTGCTGGAGCGCTTCGTTTTATCCTCAACTTATATTGAATCTTCGTCGCAAGAGCACATCCGGAACTACTGTGGATTTCCCCTTCATCAACGTTCTAGGTATGGTCCGCCGCAATGTCTCATCCCCCCAGAGTCGTTGGCGCCAGCCAGCTCCGACGTGCGCCAGAGAGACTGACCTGTCCCAGGCTTCGTTGCGTATTTCGTCTCCAATGTCGCCTTCTACTACTCTCCCCTCATTCGAAGCCAGTACGCCGCTCGGCACAACGATCTTACTCCCACTGTCCAGTTCAACGACATCACTTTTGCGCTCCACGCCTCTGTCATATCTGCCATCACTCTTTCGCAATACCTCCTCCGCACTCTCTGGGGCTTCGCCCCTTCCACCGGCACCCGCCCTAGTCGCTTCATTGTCGGTGTCGCGCTGGGCTGCCTCTTCGGCGTTGTCGCCACCTATCTAATAGTTGCTTCAGAAGCAGCCAAGGGCCCTATCGATCCGGCAACAGACTGGTGCGAGCTAGACATCATCTACGCAGTGGGCTACGTTAAGCTTTTAATCACTCTTATCAAATTCACTCCGCAGGTCCTAGCCAACTACAGCAACCAGAGCACCAAGGGATGGAGTATCTGGCAGATTACGCTTGACTTTGCGGGTGGTGGACTGAGCACGGGGCAACAGTGCATCGACAGTTACTTGCAGCGCGACTGGAGTGGCATCACAGGCAATCCGGTAAAATTTGCCCTGGGGAATGTGAGCATGGTGTACGACTGCATCTTTTTTGCCCAGCACTACATTTTTTACCGAGGCTCTCATAGCAAGGATAGATCCGAGGAGGATGCGTTGTTGGGGGATGAGGAACAGCAAAGGAGGAGACGACTGGACTAATGATTGGAATGGAAACATGCCAGGCTTGCTATATTCTGAGGGATATCTGCACTGTAACTCATGTTGTTTAGGAATAGAATCGTTGGCCACTTCCTTTCTGGCAGTTCGCAACTAGAAGTGACAATGCGGCAGCAAATGCGATCCAAGAAATTTCAGCCGGCCTGAGTCATGATTCATGTATAGATTGTTAAGCTCTGGCCTTGCATAGGCAGGATCTCATGGAACTTTGGGATGCAACACCCAGCCGCATATTTTCAGAAAGGAATATTATGCATCTACCCAATTTAGACTACAACTTGATTAGTGTTGCACAATAAATAGTTAAAGTTATGGACTGAACTCTCTTCCGGTTAGGCTGACATCGCGTCTTGCGCTAAGGCGGCTATAATACATTCTTGTCTATGTGAGACGACCAACACTTGGCAATCTAGGTCTGTATACTTGATACCATGTCAATGTCAAGATTACCCAAGTCACACGTCCACGGTATCACAGCTATTCAAAAATACATTGTCTAAAAGCCTGCCATCCGTAGTTTTGTAAAGTGCCTGGCAACATTTTCTGTATCCCGTTCTTCCCTGCCCAGGGCTTGCCTTACACGGAGAGGCTATAATCTAATAATACCCGAGTTGACCTTTCGTCTGCGAACTGGCAACATGGTTTTTTCAATCAAGATACACACTCCAGGGAAATAACTCGGTCGTAACATGGCTCACACTTAGGATGAACTATCCTTCAGCCCATCACGCCTAACTCCCCCCTATCCCGCACCTTCAAATCTTAAATCAACCACATCTGCAGACTAACCTCGACGCGTAACTATATCCAAGAACCAAATATTAGCTTGCAAGTCTAAACAGCCACGAACCATGTGCTCTTCTCTCCCAGTCTTCCATCTTCCACGGCCCAAAGTCTACGTGTTCATAGAAGTAAGAGCCTGGTCTCCCATCTCTGGATGAACCCCCAGAACAATCTTACCCTCCTTGTCATTACTTCTGCTCTGCTATTCAGGCTTGTTACTGTCCTTCAAACCAAAAACAGTACTGTTCATCACTGAACTGCGTACAAACACACACACACACGTACAATACGCTGTCTACAAACTACATCATACAAACCACACACACTCATACGACACGCTGTCTACAAACTACATCATACAAACACATGCTTCGCACTCATAAAGCTACTCTACCTACCGGTTGGAAGCATCAAAACCACACATACCACCAAAGACAGCCGTCTACAGACACCAATAAGCGTATAAACACCATATCAAACACTCAAACACACAAGCAACCGGCCTACCCAGACAGAAGCACACAACCACAAACAACTACACAAGAAACCACCTCGCCACGCGGAAAGACCAGGATACAAATCATGTCAAAGATACCAACCCTAGGATCCCTCAACATGATCGAATACCGGAAATCTCCCCGCTTCGAGTATGCCCCCATGGACATCTCGCGCTTCACGCGGCGAAGTGCCTTGCAACCACCACGCATCAGAGCTCAGGCTCCCCAACGATCCCAGGAACCCCAGGCTCAACCACAAGAAACAACCGAGCAGCCGGCCCCAGCCAAGCCCAGCAGCCCTGCTCCAAGCAACGAAGGCGTCTACGAAGGCCTCGCAGATCTCGTGCCCGACGTCCTGGCCATGGACAGGTTCCTCGACTCAAGCAGCACCAGCAGCACTACCAACACTCCTCAAGCGACCCCCAGCCCTGCTCCCTCCGAAACGCAGTCCACGAAGCAGAAGCCAAAGGAAGAAGCCTCCAACGGTCTGGGCCAACCCGCCGAGGAACAAAGCCAAAACACACAACAACCCCCCGCGGAACAAGCAGCCTCCGTGAACGAATCCGAAGAAGGAGGATACTACATGCTATCCGCAGCAGCAGCCTACGCAAGACTAGCCATCCCAGAAGTAGATGAAGAAGAAAACAAGCTCGTCATCCAATCGGCGCTCCAGTAAGCATCCCTCGCTGCCCCCCTTTCCCAAACCACGAGCTAACATCCCGCAGGTTTCACAACGACGACATCGCCAAGCACAATGCCGGAATCTACCACGGCGACAAATGGGCTCGCCTCAAGCCCCTCCGCAGCGAGACCTGCTACAACCTCATCGACAGCTGCCTCGGCGGCTGCGAGCTCGAGGACTTTCCACACCACGCCTACGGGCTGCGTCTCTTGACTGGTAAGTATCATATCCCCTTGGCAAACAGACGCGAACAACAGCAAGACAAGAGGCTAACATTGACTAGACGCCGAACTGAATGGACTTTTGGGCCATCTCCGCTCCAACGTGCGCCTTGATTCTGCGAGAATCGTCAAGATCAACTGGATTTTGGAGCGCTGGACCAATTGGACTCACCTCTAGAAAGGGAGAGAGGAATACCACCTCCAAGAGTTGGAAATAAAAGGGCTTCAAGATTGCAAATGGAGGATACTTTGGATTTCTCTTGTTCTCTTTTCTTTTGTCTTGGTTTGATTTGACAATGGTGGCCACGAGCCGAAGAATACATACCGGCTGCAAGAGATGGAATTACGTGGACTTCACCACGTTGTTGGATTTCCTTTGTTCATTTTCTTTCTTCTAATTTGGTTTAATCGTGGTGGAATAATAAATCTGACGAGGGCCATGACCCGGGTGGTTGGCGGGAAAGGGTCATGCAAAAGCCAGCATCATTCAGGGGCCAAATAAGACAGACTTGGTCCCTAGACTGCACTTTTTTTCTCCTCTCAATCAATTTTCTTCGTTTCTGGCTCTACTCTATTTCCATGCTTAAATGTGACTAGCTGATGCCATTTGTCCTATTCGTATCTTTTCGTAATGAGCTGCTTCATTCGCGTCTGGAACCATCTCGAGGAGAGAAGGCTGGCCATTGGTAAAAGTGCCATGATGATGCAGTGTTTTACACGTCTATAGTACAGCCTATCTAGAGTGGTATTTTTACAAGACAAAATTCATTACTTTGCCACCTCGCACAGCAATCACCCTCTTGGCCCTGGCTAAATCATATTTCCCCTCCCCAAATCTTTCCTTGCCTTGCTTGGTTTTGAGGATTTCCCTGACTACCCAGTCTTTCAGCGCGTCCCCTTGCAGCTCAGGTGGTGGTGTCGGTATGTCGACGACACCTCGCATCTTTCCATTAATCTGCACGGCGCAGGATCGCTGTCGAGGCTGAAGCATGGCCGAGTCCAAGGTACCGTCCTGCGAGGGAAAGGTGCATGTATCAAAGATAAGCCCCTTGGAAGGATGCAACACGCTCCAGCATTCATCAGCAAACGCAGGCGTGATAGGGGCCACCAGCCGAGTAAGAATGTTGCATGCATGCTTCTTGATGGCCTCATTAGCCTGCGAACTTGCCAGTGTATTGGTGAGGCGCATCAAATCCGACACAATTGTATTGAGAGAATAGACCTCATCGTATGACTGGGTGACAGAGGCAATCGTGTGCTGCACCTCTCGCCACAAGGCTGCATCTGCGTCCCACTGCGTCAGTTCCTCGGAGCTCATGGAGCCAACCCTACCAAACTTTTCCTCCAACAGGTCCTTGGCGGGCCTCGATTCATCAGCTGTCGCGACGGCCACCACCTGGTCATGCAAACGTTGCAACCAGCGAGTGACCCCGGAGATCTTGGCTTCATCCCAATTCAAAATATCTCCCACGGGCGCTTGGAAGATCATGTGGGCTCTCGTTGCATCTGCTCCATACTTGGCAATGCATTCGGTAGGATCAACCCCATTGTGCTTGGATTTGGACATCTTCTCAAATGCCACCTTGGCGGGAACACCAGTCGCCATGATTTTGGGTGAAGATGGGTCTGACAAGTCCACTTCGTCGGGCTTTAGGAAGACGCCATTTTCAGGGTTAATGAATGTTCTTCCATGTACCATGCCCTGCGTAATCAGTCGCTTGAATGGCTCTGCTGAGGATGCTGTCTCGTCGGTATATTCTGGCATCAATGACGTCGACGCCAAGAACTTGTAAACGAATCTCGCATACAGCAAATGGAGGATTGCGTGCTCAATGCCTCCTATATAGGTATCCACGGGCAGCATTTTGCTGGCTTTGGGTGAAAAGAGCTGTTGGGTGTTGTGAGGGTCAATGAACCTGGCGAAATACCAACTAGAGTCCACAAACGTGTCCATGGTGTCGGTGTCTCGGCGGGCTGGTCCCTTGCACTTGGGGCAAGATGTATTGACAAATTCAGGTGACGATTCCAGCGCATTTCCAGTCTTGCCCTTCGCCCAATGCTTTTCAACATTGGGCAGTCTAACGGGCAAATCCTCATCGGGGACCGGGACAGCACCGCAAGAAGCACAATGAATAATGGGAATAGGAGTCCCCCAGTATCTTTGCCGACTAATGAGCCAGTCTCGCAAGCGCCACTTCTCGACCGATTTCGCGAGATGAGCAGCCTCGAGCATACGGACCATAATCTGCCCAGCCTCCACCGAGTGCTTTCCCTTAAAAGCGCCACTGTGGTGCGTCATGACACCATGCTCGAGGTAAGGCTCACTCATTGGTAGAGTCGTAGTGCTTTCGTCTTCTGATGCTGCGAGAACAATACGCACTGGTTGGTCCTCTTGGTGTGTTTTCCAGAATGAATGATCTCGCTGGTCGTGGCCAGGAACACCCATAACGGCGCCTTCACCATAATCTCCAAGTACATATGGGGCAACATAGATGGGCAGAGAAGCCTTGGTGGCGTCAGGGGTCTCGTCGTGATAAGCAAGAGGGTTGATGGCTCGCAGATGCGGCAGGAGGTAGCCAACTTTCGAGTCAGGGGGTAGCCCGGGTAGAGTGTCCAAGAAGGCTTGTAGCTCAGCGTCCTTCTTTGCCAACTCGGCGACAACCGGATGAGAGGCAGCAAGAGCAACGTACTGAACACCAAAAAGTGTGTCTGGTCGAGTTGTGAAGACCTCTATGGCGCTGCCAACGTTGACACCCCCCATGACCATGATTGGGAACTTGACCAAGGCGCCAGTCGACTTTCCTAACCAATTCTTCTGCTGCGAGATGACGCGCTCAGGCCAAGCATTGTTCGTGGCGAGTTCATCTAGATCTCGCAATAGAGCCTCGCGGTACTCGGAAGTGCGAAAGAACCATTGCTTTAGCTTGCGTTTTTCTACCTTGGCTCCTGACCTCCAAGAGCATCCATTTGCGTCGACTTGCTCGTTCGCCAGCACAGTCTTGTCCACGGGATCGTAGTTGACTTCGGCCTCCGCCTGGTACGCGAGTCCCCGTTCGTGCAGCATTAGGAAAAGTTTCTGGGTGTGTTTGTAAAATTCGGGGTCGCAAGCCGTCAATTCCTATATAGCATAGTTAGCGCTGGGGAATTTCCGGCATCAGATAGTCGTTGATGCTTACGCGACTCCAGTCCCAGCTACCGTTCATGGAGCCAAGCTGCTCCTTCATCTTCTTGATATTGCTCCGCGTCCACACCGCAGGATCTATTCCACGTTCGAGTGCCGCATTTTCAGCAGGCAGGCCAAAGGCATCCCAGCCCATCGGCAGGAGAACATCATCTCCTTTTAGTCTGTGATACCTGGCGACGGTGTCGGCAATGCTGTACACTCGCAGGTGGCCCAGATGCAGGCTACCCGAAGGGTAGGGGAACATTGGCAAGACATAGTTGGTCTTGCGGTCGCTGGCCTTTGGGTTGTTTGGTTGTTCGAGGCCGGCTTCATTAGCTTCGCTCCATATTTTCCTCCATTTACCGTCTAACGAGTTGAGGTTGACGGCGTACCACCTCTGAAGCGAGGCTGCTGGTGCGACTGGCAACTGTGTTAAACTTGGTCTGGATATACGGGTTGGCCATCGCGAGGCTACCCTGAGAGCCGGGCAGGCTCCCTTGCAGCCTATCTGCTTTGCGTAGACTAGCTGCATGAGGATGACTGCATCACGAAGGTTGTGGCGACAAAGGGGACAGGCGTGGCGAGCAAGGCAAGCTACTGGAGCTCCCGATAATCGTCGAAGGTTTGAACGCGTGACAGCTTCCGCCAATGCGATGTCTGGTTGGAGTGGCAGGAGCGGCAGGACCCTGCAGGGGCCCCTGCCGTTTTGAGGCGTGGTGCGTCATTCGGCTGTGGGAAGCGACTGCCGCACCCCGTACGGAGTAGCCTCGAGAACTGTGGCACCCGGCATGGCACCTTTTGTGCTAGCATAACATGGAACACAGCTCTGGAACTCAAGGACCGATCCGCGCTTTCAAGCCTTGTCTGAGGATGGCACAATGTGCACTAAGAGCTGCGGTAATCATGACCAGGCGTCATCTAAGTAATTACCTGCTTCTGCCGTCACACACGCCGTCATGATTGATGCGAGATGATAACATCAATGCAAGTGAGTGAGGGGGCTTATGCTGCCCAGCACTGAGGCACCACGGGCGATGCCACGTGCCCGCTCGCATCTTCCGTTATTTATCAATTGATATGTTAATAAATCCCAATGCACTCCCTTCTCGGTCGCTCCTGCTTTCCTGCTCCGGAACCAGACTGGCGCTAGTTAGTAGGCAGTTTTCTTGTCCTTGCACAAACCGGCTGCCCCCACCGCCGTTGTCACTTCGTCAATCAACGCCTCCTGGGACGTGGGAAAAATCTCCTCCGTTCTCGTTCGTCGGAACCAGTGGGGTTTCGCCAGCCTCGACGATGGGCATTTGTGGCTCAATTTCGGCTTTGGGCTGAGCTGTGGGAGTCTTGGACTTTGAACTCCTCATCTTCAGCTTGACTTTTGCGTCGTTGGCCATCAGCTTCAGATACTCCCACCTGTCGCTTGCGTGCCATCATTACTCCTTCAGCTCACTCCGCAAAACGGCGCCTCGGCTCCTGCTCCATCGTCGTGTGGCCAATATTTGCCCCCTCCGTTTGGCTGCGACACACTCAGACAGCAAGATTCGGCGCGTCGCCGCCGAGCTATCTCCGTCACGGCATCTTGCATTGTGGCTGCCCCGGCTTAAAGTCGACTGAGCGAATCCGACTGCGGAGTATAAGTAAACTGTCTTCGAGATCGCCCTCAGTCATTCATTGCCTCCTACACAGTCGCCATGGACAAAATCACAGACAAAATCGCCGCTCTGCCGGCCGATAGAGAGTACTTTTCTCTCGAATTCTTCCCCCCCAAGACTGCCATGGGCTTCTCCAACCTGCGCCATCGACTACAGCGCATGGAACAGGCTTTGAAACCTCTTTTTGTCAATGTCACTTGGGGAGCTGGAGGATCAACAGCGACCAAGTCCCTTGAGCTCGCCGAGCTCTGCCAGCGGGAGCTTGGCTTAACAACGTGTCTTCACTTGACTTGCACCAACATGAGCAAGCGTCTTGTCGACAAGGCCCTTGAAGACGCCAAAGCCCTCGGTATCCGTAATATCCTCGCTCTCCGAGGAGACCCTCCGCGAAAGGAGGAGTACTGCGATGCAGAAGATTCGGAGGACGATGGGCAGCAAGATTTCACATGGGCCATTGACCTTGTGAAATATATTCGCAGGAAGCATGGGGATTACTTTTGTATTGGAGTGGCAGCATACCCCGAAGGCCACTCAGACGAGAGTCACCCTCAGGACCAAAGTTTGGAACATGATTTGCCGTACCTGGTGGACAAGGTACAAGCCGGTGCCGACTTCATCATGACCCAGCTCTTCTTCGACATCAGTGCCTATGACCATTTCGAAAAGACCCTCCGAGAACACCCTAGTGGCGCTTTCAAGACTATCCCCATCCTTCCTGGCTTGATGCCAATTCAGAGCTATCAGATGATCAAGAGGACAACCAAGCTCAGCCACGCGAAGATGCCGCCCGCCATCATGGATCGTCTCGATGCTGTCAGGGGCGATGACGAAAAAGTCAAGCTAGTCGGTGTGGATATTGTCAGTGAACTCATTGACCAAATTAGAAAAATCAAGAACCGAACACCAGGCCGTAGAGGCTTTCACTTTTACACCTTGAACTTGGAAAAGGCGGTTTCCTTTATTGTCGAGAGAACAGGCCTTATTCCCCGCGAATCAGAGAATGAGGAGGCGCTCATTGACGACGGTACTCTTGCGCCTCCGGCAATCCAGGTCAACGGCACCCGAGCTTCAACTCACTCCCGGACATCCAGGAGACACTCGTCTGTTGGTTCTGATCCCTATAACCGAGTCATTGTTGCTGGCCAACCACCATCACACCCTGAATGGGAGGCAACCGGACAAGAAGCGGGCGTGCCGGCTGAAAGCATCAACTCGCGCGCAAACACGCTCGCCATTTCCGAGGGCGAAGGTGTCTTGGGCAGGGAAGCCACGTGGGACGACTTCCCCAACGGTCGGTTTGGCGACTCGAGATCGCCGGCGTATGGTGAAATCGACGGCTACGGCGTAAGCTTGCACATGTCAGTCAATCAGGCCGTGACGCTTTGGGGATCCCCCACGAGCCGCCAGGACGTCAACAATGTCTTTGTCAGGCACATCAAGGGCGAGATATCGGCCATACCATGGAGCGAAGAGGGACTGTCCCCCGAATCGTCAACCATCCAGTCTCGCCTTGTAGAAATGAACGGCAAGGGCTGGCTGACGGTTGCGTCACAGCCCGCCGTCAACGGCATCTCATCAAGCGACAGGACATTCGGCTGGGGCCCAGTCAACGGCTTCGTGTTCCAGAAAGCCTTTGCCGAATTCTTCTTACCATCGGCAGACTGGCACACGCTAGCCGAAAAGTTGAAGGGATCCGACTACTTCGACAGCGTCTGCTTCTACGCGGCCAACGCCAAGGGCGACTTTGTCTCGTCGTACATCAGCGGCGGGCGGTCCACGCGAACCGTCGCAGCGAGCACCAACGCCGTGACATGGGGCGTGTTCCCCGGAAAGGAGATTGTCACGCCAACCATTATCGAGGAGGTGAGTTTCAAGGCATGGAGCGAGGAGGCCTTTGGTCTGTGGGGAGAATGGGCCAAAGTATACGGACGGGGGTCGGAGAGCGGAAAAGTACTGAGCGGCATTCGATCTGATTACTGGCTGGTGAATATCATCCACCACGACTTTATAGATAGGGAAGCATTGTGGAAGTTGCTACTCGAGTGATGGCGAAGTAGTGAATATATCAAAGTAGTCGAGTGTACATTATGGGTATCGAGTGTATTGTAGCTCAGCAAAGTGTAGTCTAATTCGCAGTCCGTTGGCCACGCATCAAAAATGCTCGCCCATCCACGCCAGAAACACAAAAGGCCCCGTCTCACTAGTCCATCCTGCGCGCGTCCAATATGTCAAAAGGGGCTCTGCGCCCGTCTCTCCCTCTCTCCCTCCCTCTGTCCCGCTCCCTCGCACGTCGCGTTCCCATTCACATGCACTCGCTGAATATCCCCTCCAACGATGCATTTCAAATCTCCCCGTCGCCATACGCCTCGATGGCTTCCTCAAAACTGCCCAAGTAGAGATTGGCCCCAAAGGCCGTGGAGAAGACGGGATCGGTGGCGCGCTCGGTAAAGGCGCCGGCGACGGAGGCAGTCGACGGGGAGGGGGCGGCGCCGGCGGCGTCGCCAAAGATGCTCTGGTACTGCGACTCGGGCTTGACGAGGACCACGTCCGAGTCCGAGTCGGGCGCGGCGCCGGCGGCGATGGTAGCGCCCGCGCGGACCGCGGCCTTGCGGCAGGGAGAGGCAGTTGGCGACGTCGCCGCCCGACGAGTGCGTCTGGCGCAGCTGGTCGGCGTCCTTTTTGATGCCGCGGAACTGGAACTGGATCCCGTCCGCTGTCGACTGGCCAAAGTACTTGGCTATATCTGTCGCAGTGGGTTAGCTCTTGTCTGGACTTTGGGGGGCGGACGAGAGCGAGGGAAGGGAAGGGCAAGGGGGGGTGGGAGTGTGGAAGGGACGTACTCGTCTTGTCGACTGCGTCCTGGGCCGTGGGCATGTTGTCTTCGACGGAGAGGTGCTTCATGTCGAAGCCCTGGGGGCGTCCTTCGCGGATAATCAAGGCCTGGGCTCTGAGCCGGCGGAAGCGGTGGTTGAGCGCGTGCTCGGTCATGTCTGAGCCGTAGCAGGCGGCGATTTCTGGGACGGTCAACTCCCCGTCCCATGACATAGAAGAAAAGGGGGAGGAGGGAGGCGGGTGTAGAGGGCGGGAAGTGGTGATGGAAACGGGACGGCAAAGGGGGCAACGAGGAGCAAGCCAACTTCACTTACCTTTGTAGTTCCATTTGACGTCCGGGTGGGCGGCGACAATGGCCCTGACCATACGGGCTTGCGCCTCGTAGGTCTTGTAGTTTGCTTTGGAGTTTGTCGGTGCCATGGCGTTTGAGGGTAAAGGGCGATTTCACCGCGGAGTGAGCTGGGCAGACGTAAAAGGCAAGCGAGTGGTATAAGTGAAGCTCGCTTGGTGATAATGACTGGGCTGCCTGCGCATCCGTCATGCGCACAAGGGTAGTTTTGGAGGCAAAGGAGGAAGAGAATTGTGTAGATGAATGTATGTGAGCATGCAGTTGGAGGTGCAGGCGCATGTATATGAGAAAGAAGGAAAAATCCCGTGCCAGCTGGCGCCGGTTGGGTAAAAGTGACGAGGAAGTGAGCTCGACTACACGTTGGTGTTTGGCTGCTATCTGTCCAGGTGAAGGATGACTCTATTGCATTGTTAGGCTCATTTACTAAACTTGTTTCTGGTCAAGCATACCTTTTTTAAAGATTGAGCCACAGATAATCAGAGATGGTCTATCGCGCTGTGAGGCAAACGCTGTCCTGTCCAAGTTGAAGGTGAAGATGGATGGTTGAGGACTCGGCGGCTACTAGGCAGGAACCAACACAGCCAAGTCGCCTTGCCGCAAATTGATATGGCTAATGTTCTCAATCAAGAATGTGTTTTTGAGCAAACGATGCACAAACAACAACCGCCAAGTACATCTGCCCAAGCACCCAGCTTGACTGCACCAGTCGACGTTGGCTGCCTGCAATCTGCAACGCAAAGGAAAAAGTAAGGTGGCTGGGTACTCGCATCCCCCAATCTAGGAGTCGCCTGGTGCATGGTCGATAACCACTACATTGAGCTCAAATGCAACTCGCACGCACACTCACCACAGGGCTCTATAAATAACTGTTTGCACAACATCATCAAGGTAATTGCCTCTTGGGCTTTTATTACAAAATTATTTACGTGCCTTGAGACGCACCGGCGGCAGAATACCCAGTGGCCTTTGCGGACGTGGCTGTACCGCTCTATCACTACTTAACGCCTTGCGCGCCAGGGGGGAGACGCCCAACTTCATCTCTACCCCCGGTCCAACAAGTATCAGACCCGACCAAACCACAATGCTTCATCGTCATGTATGCCCTGCTCTCCACTGTCCGTATGAAAAGTACCAAATGCCTCTTATATCTGCACCTGCACCCGCACCCGCACCGCTGCCCCTCGGCATAAATACCTGTTGCAATCGCATCGGTAGTCGTTACCGTGACTGCTCGTGTGTTATCAACAATGCTTTCATTCGCGTAATAAAATGCTCTCTTGCCGAAGCAATCGTTTCCAATATAATCAAAACATGGTTCTTGGTCTGCAGCCTCGCCTTTCCGTGCCGCAGCCCGCCCAGAACCGTCTCCAAGACAGTCATCTATTCCGCCTCGGTATCGCTGAACGTGGCCCCTCGCTGCCCGGCTGACATGCTCCGCGTGTGGGAATGTGAGGCCCGGTGGCCGCGCGCCCAGTGAGCCTCCTCCATGGCGTGCTCCTTCAAAACGGCCTCGTCACCACCGGCGCCATAAATGAAATACTGGATGCCTAACAAACAATCGCAGGCGGCCTGGAAGCAGCCGCAGACCTTGAAGGCCAGGGGGATCTCGCTCGTAGACGTAAAGAACCAAAAGACCTTCATGGCGTCGCCGCCGATCCAGGCGGCCAGGACGGACAGTCGGAAGCCCTTGCATGATTGCGATTGGGCGTTGGCAATCAGCTGCGGGATGGGCAGGGTCGCCTCAATGGAGAGGCCGAGGTATCCGATGAGCACCGAGTACGCGTCGTAGATGGGCTCCATGGGTCGGAGGAGGACTTCGCAGACGATGAGACCGCCGAGGAGGTAGAGGAGGAAGTGCCAGTATCTGCCACAGTCAAAAAAAAATCAGCAATTTTATCCTGGGGCCGTTTCACGAGCAGCTTAAATTCCACGAGGGAAGCAAAGGGGGGTGCCGGGAGCAACATACGGCTTGTGCGACCGCCACTGCCAAAAGTTGTAGGGCCGTTGAATGTCAAACGGACCGCCTTGTTGGAGACCAGAAAACGGCATGCTGCCCTCGCCGCCCTTGGTCGCAGGCAGCGGCCTGTGTTCCAGCGCAATCTTGAGCAAAATGAGCTGCACCACCACCATGATGAATGACTGCACCAACAGACTAGCGTCGAATCGCGAGCCCGGCCAGTAAAAGATTCTGTACGGAGAAAGGAAAAAAGAAATAGCCTCGTTAGCATCAAGTCCCCGTGTATGGATTGCAACGCTTTCCCGGGCTGTTTGGGCGCATCCGCGCATCGTAGATGGGCAAACATACCTGAAGAAGGAAGCCACCAGCATAATCAACGGGATGTCCAGGGAAAAGCCGGCGCTCGATTTATTCCGATGCATGGCAAGAATCTGGTCGCCGTACGAGATGATGGGCGACATGATGATGAAAAAGGGGGCAATGAAGCCCGTCAAGTTGGTAAGCCAGGTCATGATGCCGGTCCGTCTCCGTCTCTGACGACAAAGGAGAGAACGAGTTGCGCGAGCGAGCGGCGAGTCGGAATGCGGCAGCAAGCGACAGCAAGAAGCATGAAAAAGAAAACTGAGGAAAAAAATCGCTAAACGGCTATGATGAGGCCATTCGCAGAAACGCAGAGAAAAGGCAATGTTTGACTGCAGAACGAGCGCTGGGTGAAGAAATGGGACGTCCTTTTCCTGCCACGGGATCTGGGGGACTGTCAAGTCGTCGACATGGGTTTTTTTTTCAGCGGGATGACTTTCTACAGCTGCTGGAATTCGATGCCCTTTGGCTCCATACGGACTAATTAGTGCCGTCTGTGGCCCTCCTCTGACAAGCGGCGACAGTTGATGTTTGGAGGCACCTGGGAAGGGAGCCGGCCGCCCATTGGCCAGAGAGTCCGTGCACTGTACTCCTGTTGACAGCCCGGCTACAGCGGGGAGCGGCAGTGGGCACATGCAGCAACACCAGACCATACTTCAGCCGGCAGTGGGCGCGCCGCTATTTTCGTACTGGCGCAGCGCCCAGTGCCGTGTTAAACCACTGTGCCGCTAGAGGTACTCGACCAGACGACTCGCGTCCGGTACCTGCATCTGGGCGCACAGCCCTACGAATCGCCAAGTACAGGGTACCGCGTGCCCCATGCACCAGCGAATTGCTCGGCGGGCTCATCAACTCTTTTTGCTGGGTTTGCTGGGTGCGCTCACGCCTCACCAGGTACTTACTTAGACGTGACCATGAGACTTTATACTTGTATATATAATATTCATGTTATAATATATTGGTGTATATATTATAATAGGTAAATATATTTTACCATAAATTAATGCACATGGTACCGAAGGCCAAAAGGCGCAGTCCAGGCACCTGCGTACTTGGATTCCTCGTACTCTGGTTCGCTCCATCGCGCTGACATTGTCCCGAGTTGAAATGCCCGAAACAACGCACACGTGGGCTCCTGCTTCCATGGGCCCAAAAAAAGGGCCGCGCCCCCTATATTCGAATTATCGCATCCATTCATTCCCACGGCCCCATTATCCTCGGCCCCTGCTCGCGAAAGCCGTCTTATCACTACCTAGGCAGTATTGCTGCCTGGGTAATTTTAATATCGATACATGAATTCCATGGAGGGGCATTCCGCTATGCAAGTCATGCCCTCTAGCTGCGCCTTCGTGCCCTCGCCTTGGCCCGCTGCGTATCAAGTCCTCCCTTGGTCATGCGAGCTCGAGTTCACGCCGTCCCGTCAATGCCCTCTGCTCTCGTAAAGCGGCAGGTTCCCGACAGTGCCAGGCGACGCCAGACGCCTCCCCCTGTCCTTGATTATATGGCCACATGTAATTCTATTAATTACTAGGTAGCCAGGGTCTGGCAAGGCGACGGGCGTGTCTGTTGATGCATCACAATGTACTCCAATGAAACAACTTGACCGCCCCTTTTCACCGGCGGAGAAGGTTAATACAATGATGAAAAAAATAATCAAGATGACGAAATATGTGGTGGATCCTCGCAATAACTTTTGTAAAAAAAATTAAATAATAATAAAAAAAAAACATCAAAAAAGATCGACAACAGCCAGATTCGAACTGACGCGGGCGAACCCAAAAGATCAACTTTCTTATATGCTAAGATTCGAGTCTTTCGCCTTAACCACTCGGCCATGTTGCCGTATCCTGCTACATTCCGTTACGTAAGCTTATATATTCTTATACACTTATTCCTCCCGTCCCACCATCAAGTGCACCTCCTGAAACTCGAAACCTCAAAACAGGTGCAAAACACAACGTCGACGCAGAGAAATGTATGAAACAAGGTAGTCGAACAGCTTCGTGGTCCCGAGACTCCATCGTCCCGGCAGCATCCCGGCACAGTTCAACGAGTGTGCTGCGTAGGACAACGCGAATAGATCCCTTGTGATCTTCAACTTGCACTCCTGTCAACACAATCCCGATTCCTCTTTTTCTGTGCAATTACAACTCTTGGACTTGTACTCCCACAGGATCCACCCTGAGACCCTACACAAGGCATTCCTGCTCACTTCTCACCATTGAAATCGCCTATATCCGTCCAAGTGCTCCGTAGTGTAGGTCAAGACACACATATCCCTTCCTATACCACTCAATATAACCAATCTCAGCTCCCCTACTTCAGAAATCCTACAACTAGGTATGTACCACACGTCAAAAGTCGACAAGACACCCCTGTCCGCTGCGACTTGAAGAGATATTTCCTTGCAAGCCTCCTGTTCCAACAACCACCATGGAACAAGAAGGGGCCGTATATAATAACAAGCATACTCTTTTTCGCATTCAAGACGGAAATCAATACAGCAAATATCATATTAAGCCAAGTTGAATCCCCTCAGGCAGCCCGATCCCCCCCATGACAAAGACCATTAGGAAATATCCCCAAGAGGCTGCATATTCAACAAACCAAGGCCAGGAATCCCAGCCCCCGTTCACAACGCACGCTCCTCACAACCAAAACACCACCCAGCGCAGCAAACTGCCACCCGTGTTTCAGTAGTGCGCGCCGAGCCGGGCGATCAAGAAGCTTCACAATAACAAGGCAGCATCAAGCCGCGTGAAGAAGAAGCGGCAGCCGCCAAATCTCCAAGCCCGCACCCATCATGAATATCTTCCGCCAAGTCCGTAACCTACAGTATTTCCGACGAGCAGATATGCAAAGACCGCTTTCAAAAAGTCCATATACAATACCGAAGACCTCTACGCATTGCTAGCATATACACCGTTGGAAGCATACAGTCTCCCCAATAGTCCACGCGTCACAGAATCGTGTCTTCTTCTGCTTCGCTACAGCTCATGAGCCGGGATACATTATCAAACAGAGCACACTTCAGTACCCTTCCGTACTTTTGCCATGCCAAGAGTTCCAGCCAAACGACAGATGCGCAGAAATACATTGTCAAGCGTATAATCTAGGTCAACAAGCCACCAAGAGTAAATTTCCACGCCCTTGAACTACGTGGTCGCCCTGTCCAACGTCTAGTGTACTCCGTATTACGGCTCAACACGCCGACGAACCGCACACATCTACCCTGTATTTATACACTCGTCGTCGTCCAATATACACGGTTGGATAGTCTAATTTGAAGCCAGCACACGTCCGTCCCGTCTAGATGAGACGGCAGAAACACACGAGTGACGAATTACGATTGACGCTTGAATTCCATCATTCACGGCATTCACATCCGTCAAGTAAAGGGCAAGTACGAGCCATCTCCTTTGTAGCCGTCACACGGCATCACTTCCACTTGAACACGTATGAAGTCGGAACTTCACAAGTCGACCACCTACCCTATACCTATACCTATCCCTAGCAGCCGTCGCACACCACGATTATTCCTCGCGTATAACATGAATAGAAAGTGCATGTATTCTTCCGCTCTACAAGACAAAAGACTCGATATAGCCCCCTTACAGAATCGTACAAAACCAAGGGAACATATATAACGTACAAGCCCACGTATTCAGCCACCGTGTATGCTCGGACATGACTCCAGCACAACATCGACAGACAGCACGGCACGTCCAGAGCAGTTACTGGTAATTCCAGCGCATCGCAGCAGGCGAGGCAGGCAGCCCGTGCACGCACCATGTACACTGTATGTATGTATGTATGTACATCTTCAGCTCCATGTCGACAATCGATCTCCGGTCGCGACGGGTCCTCAGCCCAAGACATCTGCAAAGCCTTCCAGAACCAAACGAACCGCGTTCCCCGGAGGATTACGTACCACGCACACCCGAATGCTACGGACCGTTCCATCAAGGACCGTGCGCCACGGAGTTACTCCGTAGGGAGGTTGCTCCTTTCAAGGAAGGGAAAAAAAAAAAAAAAAAAAAAAAAAGACAAAGAGCCCAACATGGCCGGAGCAGGGCGTGGGGACGCAATTGCAAAAGGACCAGACGGGTTTGCCACAATTGATACGATACAGCGTTGTTGGCTGTTGGCCGTTGGCTGTATGTATGTAGTAGTTGGCTGTTCTGTTCTGTTTTGTTTTGTTTTGGACCTCGGACAGTGCCAAGTTCCGAGCCAGCTTCTCTCCTTCGCTTTCTCGTCCTCGGCGGTGCGGCTCCTCATAAAGCGGCCCTCATGCTTTCTTGGACTCTTGTTCTTCCACCAACCAGCACGTACATGACAGACACTAGATGCAACCTAATTTTACCACGAGCCCACGACTGCCGGTCCGTGATGCCCTCTTTCCCATCTCGTGTAGTCTTGGCCGCTTGACAAATGGTAATCACAAGCCCTTTCTCCGAACGGCAGCGGCATTGACCTGCCCGTCATCAACCAACAAAAGTTGGGCCGACGCGTCGCACTCGTCGCATTCGTCGCGAGCACGCCCCCCCTCCCCTTCTCCCCCTCCCCGTGGCGTGCGTCCAACTCGCCGCCGGCCTGTTGT